GAAATCAAAGAGGAATCCGCAACTGTTGAAGAAATCAAAGAGGAATCCGCAACTGTTGAAGAAATCAAAGAGGAATCCGCAACTGTTGAAGAAATCAAAGAGGAATCTGCAAGTGTCGAAGAAATCAAAGAAGAATCCGCAGCTGTCGAAGATACTTCCGCCCATAGTACAACAGTCGAAGATGATTCCATCCAAAGTAGTGCCAATTCAGAATCCTCATTGTCACCCATACCATCTCCTTCGCTATCACCACTAAATGCAGAAGTTGCCGATCTTCAGACACAGTTGGCTCCACTTCAATTGAAAACATCACATGAATTCACACATTCCATCGATCCAACCACCGACTTTGTCGAATTCAATTGGAAACATGGTGGAACAACCGTATTTGTCACAGGTGACTTTGACGAATGGCGCGGTAAATAAATATGTCACGTTGTTTATCTACAATCACATGACTTTACTGTGTAATTTTATTAATTATTTATTATTATAGTAACTCATAAAATGCAGAAAGACCCAGTCACCGGACATTTTACTGTCAAAGTGCCAATTGATGTCACAAAGCAATACCAATTCAAATTTGTAGTCGATGGAGCTTGGCTTTTAAATCGTGACTGGCCAACAAAACGCGATGAACGTAAGAATCAAACACCTATTTTATTTTTGATTACTATATAGTAAAGAAATAACATCTAACCAAAAATGTAATTTCTTTTTACTCCAGATAACAATGAAAATCATGTCATTTACCCTTCTGGACCAGGTCCATTGAACCCAGAATACAAAGAATATGGTGAGTTTGATAATTACGATTATATTTTATCCTATAATTTTTATTAACCAAAAATAATAAATAGCTGTGTCACAATTCAATCTTACCGCCGCTTACTAAATACGATGTTGCGAATATCAATATGGTATGGTATGGTTAACCAAATCAGATGATATAACTTCGAACCGTTCAGCGTTTATATATACATCATAATAGCTGAATGGTTGTTTCTATATATCGATCTTCATATTACGTATTGAATATATAGATTGGTAGTTAACGTTACAAAATGTATAAATGTAATACCTATTATGGTAGTTAACAAATGTATAAATGGAATATTAATGCGTTTAAATTATTTCCAACTCTCAATACCCAATTCATTTTCTCTTTCGATATTAGCCATTTTTGAGCACGAAGTGTAGTTTTTTGTTTGTTTTTCAACAGCTAAAAGCTCTTTTTTGTGTTGAAATTCAAAATCTATCGGTTTAAGCTTTAACTTTGTTGCAATTTCGATACCAAGATCATCCAGCTCCTTGTTGCAATTAACATTTTTGATTTAAGGATCCACGTGTAAAAGTTCGCATTTATATGATCTATTCAAACAATCAGATTTGGAAAAGGAATTGCACGGATAACAAGTGTATTTTCTCGAGTTAAACAGTTATTTTACAAAAAGAATTCTCTATTTTGTTGACAGAAGATAAGCATATAAATTACATCAAAAAAATTCAAAATGTAAACACCATCAATCACTGGAAACCAGCGTCTCCACTTCATCAACAGTTCTAATCAAAATAGTAGCAGGAAATTCATATCGATTTTTCGGGTCACGTATAGCATCCACGAGCCTTTTGTAGGCTTCAACAAAAAGGCGTGATACACGTTGATTCACGCGTTTTACTAAGGGTTTAGGGTTTCCCAATAACCGGAAATTATCGGCATCGCCTAGAGTTAGAAAAGAGTCTAGTTTTGCCATTAAACCTGTTAGTGATCGTGTGTCCATGTTTGGGAGAAGGGATAGTGGAGTCTGATAATTTTTTATTGTTAGTTAAATTTTGCATACTTTTTACCACTCAAGAAAATTAAGTATAATTTTACGTACATTCTCATCTTTAGTTTCTAAAGCGCGAACTAATGGAGCTAATCCTGATTGCTCTAAAAGACTCATGTACTACAGATATATCGATATATAACGTTTTCAGTTAAGATATAGCATAAAAAGATAAAAAAGCCAAAATTCTTTTACCTGTTCATCTACTAATATTTCTAAATGCTCTTCGATTTGTGCTTCAAGTGTGGTAACGCGTCCATGGGTAAACTTATATGCAACCAAAGCAGACTAAAAATAAACAAGTAATATTATGACTAAATAATAAATAAATACGAATGAAAAGAAATATTAATTAACCTGAACATAATGTAAACAATTAATCATGTATATGGCTTCATTAAAGCGCGATAAATTTTTTGCACCCATTTCGCACATTTGCAACAACGGATCCAAGATGGCATTAAGTATTCCTGCGAAATCTCGTTCTCGTTCGGAAGAAGCTACAAGAGATGTCTCGTAAGAGGCCATAATTTCATTCTATTATTAAAGTTTACTGTTAGATTTGTGTGAAATTTATAAAAGCCAATGATAATCGTTAATTCACATATGTACCAATTGCAAAATTGTCTCTTTAACGGCTGGTGGTGGTGATAAATCTGTACCGGGTGCCTATTACAAGCAAAGGAATTCAATTATTTGAATGTAAATTTTCGACATGATAACTTGATAAGGTAGTATTTACCTGGACATATCGTAATAATTGTTCTGCTCGAAAATTAAGAGTATTAAAAAACACACGAGATGCAGATTCAGTAATGCTATAAGAAATAACATGAATAAGTTAAAGTTTTATTAAATACCATTTAACATTTTATTTATCTTTTACTTACTCCTCAAGTACAACAGATAAAGCAGCATTCGGACCCAAAATTCTAGAAATAGTGAATTTATAGAATTGAATTAAATTCACTATACGGTATGCGGTAATTGCTCCCGGTTGCGAGCCCAGAACTTGTTCCACGCGCGTCTATTATTAAATTTCCCAATCAACATAAGAATTTTAAATATCAAATTCTTTGAGCAAAAAAAGTACTTACTTTTAATGGGCGACAAGTGCCATCAAGATCCCGATCTAATAGATCTTGAATTATTATATCATCACTTTCCTTTGCCGCATTTTCTGATAATGTTGGTTCAATATCACGATATCCATTGTTTTCCCCTTCTAAAAAATATATACAATCAGAAATTTCACAAATACAACATTGCATTGTGTTATAAATATATTTTTTTACCAATATTCGTGTCAAACAGTCCTTCAAGAAATTCTCGTTCAGCAGCAACAGCTTGATGAACCCACGCAAGCATATCGCCCACATAACGCAAAGGATCGCGTGAATGTACTTCAATTGGACGAGGTGTACCTCCTGGTCCACCACGAGTAAGGGCATCCATGAAAATTCGTATGATTGCATTTCGTCGAATATAAACAAGTTCTTCTAAACAAGATCTTATAATAAAAAAAGTTATTAAACATTCAAATACTATATATCTCATCTCATATATAAAAAATCTTACTGAAAAAGCACAGGTCGCTGTTTAAGAGTCTTTAATGCATTTTTCAGAGTCATGGGTATTTCTAATGTTTCACGTCCCAGAGTTCGAATTTCTGATAAAGTCCATCTATAGAGTTTATCGAATGCTGTTTCTTGATATGCATTCATTCTTTCCATTATTTCGAGGCTATTAAAAAAAATCAGTCATTTTATTTCATCAATAAAGAATAGTTAAAAGAATTGATTATTTCTTAAAATTAAGTTACCCAGCTCTTTGATTCTCGGTAATTAACAATGCATCACAATCTCCATGGATTTGTTGCAAATGTTTTAATGCGTCAAAAAATTCAAGTCCAATTTCAGAATCCCCTGAAGACAATACAAAGATTTCTTTTTCCGAAAGAGTAAAACGTTGCAAAAATGCATCAATCAATATTTTCCGCGTTTTACACGTTTCCCTATTCCCATATTTAAAAGATTACTCAAAAAAAATATAATTTGAGAACTATATATTTTTTCGAAATATAACAAATAATAATGTTGATATTGACATGAATTTGGCACCTTTGCGATTTTAAGCTATCCGCTTGTTCTAATAAAAATGCAGTTTGTTGATTAGCCGATTCAAGACGAGTTTCCATCTCATTACAAAATTTGCTCATTGAATGAATCTCCGTTTCAATAATAGACAATTGCTAAATTTTATGGAATCAATCGAAATGAAATTAGTGCCGAATTAACTTATAAAAAAAATCTTCGATAAATACCTCAACAACTTTATCAAAAACTCCCAAAAAGTTTTGATTTGTCTCAATAACTTTTAGTTCAACCTGTCCTCTCAGGTTACGTCGTGCTATCGGTGTATTACTTGTATAGAACTCTGATAAAGCTTCTAATGCTGCTTTGGTTTTAGCATCGTCAACGGGATTGGTCAAAAGTTTTGAAACTTTTACTGAGATGGAGTTCTCTTCAGTTGCCAAAGGTGGTGGCGTAGTAGTAGGTGACCTAGGAAAAGTAGCAGATTTTGGTGTTGATACTCTTATTGGGGTTGCCATGTCATAGATAAGAGCAAGAACATAAATTACGTATATTAAATTTTTGAAGTTTCGCGTTTTTTCATTTCAACGTATGATTCGGGCAAGCATTACACAATATTTAACCTTCAATTTTTTTTAGGTCGCACGAAATCTTTTTGGAGTAGATCGCGTAAATGCATAGCGACTCTTAAAGTGATGACTGCATAAACCACCCCCCTTTGTAGAAAATTTAAAACTGCTTATAGTACAAAGTAATAAAAAAGAATAGAAATGATATCATCATCATGAATCAGCTTTAAATCAAGAGTATATGGCGATCAATTATCGTTATGTTCTTTTTTTTAATTTTTTTGCTTTAAAGATTAGTTGACTATGATAATTATTCAACTCTTCTAAACGATTGCATGAATTGGGTATATACTTACTGTTCAACTCCCAAATTAATACAATTATACAAATTTTTAAATTCTTTTTTCATGAATTAGATTAATTGATAAAATCAATACTTGACGATTAAAGGATAAATACAGTGAAAGCTCGATACAATACGTGATCGGGGAAAAGATTTGGTGTTATTATATCGAGATGTTACTCTATCGAAAAAATAAATACAATGAAAGCTTATTATTACAGTAATGAGATCGGGGGAAGAGTTTAAAACTTGATTTAACTACAAGGCTATTGTAATCCATTATGTATAGATGATTAATTTTCTAGGTATCCATCCGATATTAAAGATCTACAAGAAAGAATTTGCAAGAGTTATGAGTATACCGTAGTGCACCCCCTCCCAATGTATAGTACCGGTATATAGCAAAAATCAAAACAAGAAATCTGTAAAATACTTGGTCTTACAACTAAATTTTACCATGCCTGGATATTATATGTGAATACGTGTATCCGTGGATATATAAAAATTTTTAAAGCAGATATTTTTTATAAGACCCACTACAGTATGTATTGAAATAATAAACATTTACTTTCTCGATATTTTGTATTTTATTTGATTATATTTAAAAACTAGCATTCATATTTTTGGAAAATAATAGTCAGACTATAGTTGAAAAAATTTTGTATCAGCAGTTTCGTGATCGAAAGCCGCAGCAGTTTGGGCTGTATTGGCTGCTTCGATCTCTAGTAAATTTGTCGTAGCCGCTTCAGTGGTGGCAGTATTTTCATCGAGAATATTAGTAAAAAAGACAGGTTTAAACCCATGCAAAAAGTGTCGTTTTGTTGTGATCAATGATGTATCAGCTTTTTCGTGATCGAAAGCTGCAGCAGTTTGGGCTGTATTGGCTGCTTCGACCTCTAATAAATTCGTCGTAGCCGCTTCAGTGGTGGCAGTATTTTCATCGAGAATATTGGTAAAAATGACTGGTTTAAAACCCTGCAAAAAATGACGCGCTTTAATTGGGGTTGCAAAGGTGCTGCTCGATTTGCTGAATGTTAAGGCAACAGCCAAAAGAACAAATACAGTTTGAGCGAAAATTTTTGCCATTTTATTTTTTATGATATTACTTAATTTGTGAGTGGGTTAAAGTCGATTTTTATTTTTTCTTAAATTGTGAATATGAGTGAGTTAGCAAAACAGAAAATATAGACTTGTATAAATAATATCTTCAATTATTAATGCATCAAGATTTCTGATTATGCCATTTTTTCATCAACGAAGCATTTCATCATATACTATTTCTTGGTACTTGATGCTTTATGATATGTTTTCTAAGTTATTAATAGCGTAATTATCGTTATCACGAAACTTAACAATCATTCAAAAAAAGTACATACATAATTGGCCGCAAATTTATTTCATGGTTGCCATAATTATTCCGCATGACCTTAACCCTTGAAAATTCGAATTTTAAAGCTTTCTCTTGCTCAATCGATTAATTTTAGTTCCAACTTTCTTTGTTTCGAAAGATATTATTCTCTATTATTAGACTCGATTAAAAAAAATAGAATGTTAATTTCTTTTTTTATTCACTCTGAACATAATCCATCATCTTTATATTTATGTTCTTTCAGCAAAATAAAATCTTCAGAATAAATGGAATGGAACATGACGGAATTCACTATGTATAGGTATTTAACTTTTTGGGTCGCCCTTTCACATCTTCAATGAAAAAGAATTCATGGATGTATCTATTGGAATATCAGGAACAGTCAAAGTTGGCTCACTTTAGCATAATAAAACAAACACAAGTTTTAATCTATTCTCTACTATTTTGTATTTTATTTATATTTAAAAATTTAACATTTCACGTTTTTGGAAAGCAATAGTCTAGAACTACATATACTGATTAATTCAGATTATAGTTGAGCAAATGCTGTAATAGCAGATTCGTGATCGAAAGCTGCAGCGGTTTGGGCTGTATTGGCTGCTTCGATCTCCAATAAATTCGTAGTAGCCGCTTCAGTGGTGGCAGTATTTTCATCGAGAACATTAGTAAAAATGACCGGTTTAAAACCATTCAAAAAGTGACGTTTTTTGATAAGTGTTGTAGCAGCAGTTTCGTGATCGAAAGCTGCAGCGGTTTGGGCTGTATTGGCTGCTTCGATCTCCAATAAATTCGTAGTAGCTGCTTCAGTGGTGGCAGTATTTTCATCAAGAATATTAGTAAAAATGACGGGTTTAAAATTATTCAAAAAATGACGTTTTTTGATGAGCGTTGTAGCAGCAGTTTCGTGATCGAAAGCTGCAGCAGTCTGGGCTGTATTGGCTGCCTCGATCTCCAATAAATTCGTAGTAGCCGCTTCAGTGGTGGCAGTATTTTCATCGAGAATATTGGTAAAAATGACTGGTTTAAAACCCTGCAAAAAATGACGCGCTTTAATTGGGGTTGCAAAGGTGCTGCTCGATTTGCTGAATGTTAAGGCAACAGCCAAAAGAACAAATACAGTTTGGGCGAAAATTTTTGCCATTTTGTTTTTATCGATTTATTAGATTTGAAGTGATTTTAATAGTCGATTTTTATTTTTTTAAATTGTGAATATGAGTAAGTTGGCAAAAGAGAGACTATATAGACTTGTATAAATAATATCTTCAATTATTAATGCATCAAGATTTATTAGTATGCCATTTTTCATCAACGAAGCATTTCATCATATTCTTTTCGATGCTTTGTGATAATGCTATTGTGAGCGAGCATTTGAAAATATGCCAAAGCCGAAAATTCAAAATTGACTAGGTCAAAATGTGCAATTAAGAGAAATATCAGTATTAAATAATGAATTAAGAAAATCAAATTAATTACCGTAAAGTCCCGATGTTAAGCAACCCCTAAGCCACCATTCTGGCTTGATTTTTGAGGGGAGTTGCTTAAATTCAAGTACTTTCTAATCGTTGCAACATCACTTTACATATAGAGGCTGATCCGTGAAATAACTGATTTATATCACGGAACCCAACGTTCCGTGACAAATAAAACAACTTATTACCTTTTTTATTTATTCATTCTAATTATGACTAAAAAACAAAAATACAACACTCCTTTTCCAGTTTTTAAAACAGCAACAACCTTATTTCTGAAATTTTCAAAAATTACGGCACAAGTTAAAGCTGTTTATTATCATAAAAAAAGCAAAAGTTAAAAATATACCAAAAATTGGATTACGAATTTTGCACTAGTATTGGTTATTTAATTTCTTTAACAAAACTTAATGATATGATTCAATTCCAACAACAAATTGTTGAATATATGAACTAAGTGTTATAAATTCTATTTTTATAATAAAAAGAAAATTCAGTTAAACAAGCCATTAATATATTCAATATTTTTTTATAATTTGTCTATTAATATATTTTCTGATTTATACAGTGCAAGACACTTAAAGACGCTAATAAAATTAATTATCTTTAAAGCAAAGGATCTTTATACAAAGATCATACAAAAAAAGAGAGGGCCGCTGTTTTGTAACTAGACTTATTTACTATAAAATAGCGGCCTGCTTTTTTTGTATGATCTTTGTATAAAGATTCTTTGCTTTAAAGATGACTAATTTATTGGCGTCTTTAAGTGTTCTGCACTATATAATGTTTTATATGGTTTTAAGAATACAATCAAATTTTTCTATAGTTATTATTATGAAAAAGCAAAATTATAGAAAAGTATAATTATAAAGAGATTTTTTTACTGTATTTATATATAAATAGAAAAGCAAAATAAAGTAACTATAAAAAGAAATTTAGTTATATAATTTTAAAAAATTATCAAGTTTGATTATTTTTAATTTTTAACAAATTTAGCAAATTTTTTAGTATTTCAAAATAAATTATATTTCAATATCATTATTATAAATGATATAATTACAAATAATATTAATAAATACTATGTAATTTCTCATTTATTTATACTTTTTTTGTATTATTAGTATTATTTGTAAATTGTGATATAATTTAGAATAGTTATTAGTTATGTAAAACATATAAAAAATTGAAAATATATAAAAAAAGAGTCTCTTTTACTAGAAACTCTCATGCTTCAATTCTTTAATTTAATAAATAGCAAAGTTTTTACTAATAATATTTTATTTGTAAATACATTATTATTTTTGTGAATTATTTTCAAATCTTAGAATTATAAGTAGTGAATACTCTTTCACTCTAAATAAGTTATTGATATTATTACTTTTATTTATTTTAGTTTTATTATTTTTAGATTATGTTAATAAGTTCTGTTTAATTATTTTTAGTTATTTTAATCTATATTTTATAATTAACATTCTTAATAAGTTCAATTATTATTTTATTTTATTAGATATTATCAATAAGTTCTATTATTTACTTTGAAACTATTTATTAATTTCTTTAATTCTTTTTGCATTTTACTTTATTTTTCTATTTATTTCTATTTTTTATTATTAATAATTAGTTAGTTTGCATACAAGCTATCATAAGAGATCTTTAAAATTTTTAGTAAACACTATTAATTGTAATTTATTTAGTCTTTGTTTTTTCACTATTATGTTATTTTGTTAGTTCATTAATTTAATAATTTTTGAATTAATAAGAACAATAGTTATTTTATTAATAATTAATTACTTTTATTATATTTAATATTTTTAATAATTAAATTTATTTAATTTAATTATTTATTATTTAACTATTTATATTTCTATTGGATAAATTTGAAATTATATAATTTTTATATATAATATATAATTTCAATATGTGAATTTGATATGTAACTTGTATATATGATTTACATGTAATTTATTATTTATTATTAATTATTTATTATTATTATTATTTTAATTAATTTTATAATTTTATAATTTTATAATTTTTATAATTTGCATAATCTATATAATTTATATAAAATTATATAAATTATATAAATTTTATATAATTTATATAATTTATATAATTTTATATGAATTATTATATTTTTATAATTTTTATATATTTTATTATATTTTTATATATTTTATTATATTTTATTATATTTATTTTATTTAATCAAAATATTTAGTTTAATATACTTATATATAATAAAAATTTATATTTAAAATTTATTATAATTGATGCTTTGAAGAAAAAGCATAATTTTTCAAAATATAGCTAGCAAAAATAATTTATTTTATAAAATTATTGTATCAAAATTAATAAAACTTAAAATTTAATTATATTTCTTTATAATTATCTTCTTGTATATAATTACTTTGATTATATTAATTTATTTAACTTATTTTTAATCACATTACTAAAAATATAAAGCACACTTAGAATTTAATTACACTAAGAAAATTAATAATATCTTTTAGTAATAATAATAGTAATAATAGTAATAATAATAAAATAATGCATAAAATTCTTTTCGCATCTTGTTCATATAGATTTCTTATTCATGAACTAAGTTATACTTCAAGAAATGAAAAGATCAAATAGCTTCACTATTATAACAACTAGCTCACTAACAAAATATATAAAATCTCTTCTCACATTTTCAAGCTTTATCTAGATATCAATTTTATAGACTTTATTTCAAAATTCCAATTTTTATTTTAATTTCTTTTCAAAAAATATGAAAAACTCAAAAATAAACAAAAAATTCTTATAAATAAACTCATTATATTATCCTCTCACACTTTTCATACAAAATAATATCAGTCTCTTATGAAAGTTCAGATTTTGTTCTCAATAACTTAATCAAATATTTTTTATCTTTTTCTTTATAAACAACTACCAAAAAATATACTTTAGATTGCAATAATACCAGCAAAAATTCAAAAAAAAATTCAATGAATAAGAAACAAAAAAAATCATGTTATAATTCTTATAATAAGATAATTAGACCAATAACAAGAAACATGTTCAAAAAAAATAATATATTTAATTTAGATAATACAGATATGGAACCAAATAATATAAATATAAAAACAGATAGCACAAGTGACACAGTCTCAATGTACAGTGATACATTAATATCTGAATCTAAAAATCATGTAATAAATCTAGATAATATACTATCTTCTCTCAGAATATTATACAAATCTCACTTAAAACTAAACATGTCAAAAAACAAAAATATTATCACTCTAAATATTACTATCACAAATACAAATATTTCTAATATCAGTATCAGTAACTCAAATAATCAAATGGCTAATAACAATAATAACAATTATAAATAGCAAATTATTTATAGCAAAACATGCTACAGAAAATAAATTAATGAAAAAAATCTTTTAGATGAATTGATTATAGAAAAAATAAACTCGTACATAATAGTCAAGACTACATCAATACAAAAGCACAAATTATTAATAATATAAAACATATCTGTATTGAGTTTAATTCAAAAAAAAGTCAAGAACAAGATTGCAACGTTAATATTAATGATAAATTTTTATCTCAACAAAATCTGGATCCAACAATATATATAATACTAATTACATTATAGTTCTTCATAATGTACCATTAGAAACCAGCAAAAGCCAAATACAAATAACTTTTGAACAATTTGAACAAATTGAAAATATTCACATACTTATTAAAGAAAAGTGAAAATATATCACTATTCACTTCTCATCTATCATCAATATTCAAACTCTAATTAATAAATAATCAATTTTAATTAGTAATAACAGAATTAAAATACTATCTTTTATTAATCAACAAGAAACAATTATACTTTTTGATAGATACTAGAGATGGCGCAGCAAGTATGTGACGCTTATTTGTCACCTGTTGCAACATGTTGCAACTCCAAAATTTTATAAGCCACAACTAGTTGCAACTAGGTGATGCTTTATTTGTCATCACATTGCAACAGTTGCTGCACCATCTTTAGATGCACCACTATCTAGTAAAATTCAAGTATCTTTTTCATTGACTTGTCCATTAAATTTCAATAGTCTTTCTTTGTTGTCAGCAATATAAGTAAATTCTACTCTTTTATTTTGTTGCTTTGTAGAAGATTCTGCAATTTCTTCAATATTATTCATTCTTGCTTTGCCTTTTGAATAGTAATTTTTAGCAAAGTGACCTAGTTTGTCACATTTATAATAATTGTCTTTGATTTTATTATTGTTAGAATTATTGAAAGTAAAATTTTTCTTGAATTACTCAACATGATCCAATTTCATGTATGTACTTGTAAAGTTATTTGGTGTATTATGACTAAATTGTGAAGTTTTTTTGAATGATACTTTGTGAGAGGAATTGTTATTGAGTGGTTTATCAATACCAAATATAACTGTGTCATATTTAATAGCTAATTTCCATGTATCTTCCAAATTTTCTGGTGCTTGATAGCTAACTTCTATTTTTGTCACTGGTTTTAATCCATCAATAAAGTAAATGACTTGGTCTAGGTCATCCATACCTTCAATTTGTCCAACAAGCTTTCTAAACTTGGTGCCATATTCTTGAATTGTACCAGTTTGACAAAGTTGTTTAAGTTGTCTTCTCAGATATTGTT